TGCTGAATTGAAAAAGGAAACAAGAAAGGGATATATGAAGTCGTGTGGATAAGCACATTTGTATTTAGTGTAGTCAGGTAAGATCTCACTGAGAAAATAACATCTGGGTAACCTGTACCATAAGATATCTGGAGAAAAAAAGAACATTTCTAACAGAAGGTAGGCAATTGGATCAATGTTAGGCACCAACTCTGTAAAAGCCTTCCAGGATTCTATTTATCCCTGGCTGAGTTGGTACTTTTCCATATGTTTCCATAGAACAAAACCCCAAGCGTTATCATAGCCCCTATGCTATACTGAAATGGCCTATTTACATATTTTCTTAGCTCCTTGACAATAGCAAACAGGCTCATTTATCTAGTATCATTTGTTCCTAACAAGGTTTGGCATGCAAAACAAAATTTGCTGAATACATAAATGATCTTGAATGGAGCTAGGGTTCTTCAGAATACTCAGATCTACATAAATGGTAACAATTTTATTTAGCAAAGCTCCCATTCTCAATCATTCTGTAACATTTTACATCTTCCAAGTCACTAAGACAACTCAGCCTAAAATTAGTTGGTTCCCTAATTTAAAAAGAAACATTAACTAACTTAATTAAGCTTCACCTAGCCAGAAGAAACTCCCAGTAGAAATCAAACAGAGGAGATTAAGTCAGTAATGTACAAAAGCACTTCTCTTTGTTTGCTCTCCATGGCACTACCTATTAAATCTCTCTTTCTCTGTCCTCTCTACTTAATAAAATAAAGGCCACAGGAGAACCAGGAGCAAGTAATCAAAGTAGCACACAATGCCCCTCTCTCTTCCTTAACAGTTCTTCCTTTAGTACTTTCCAGAAGAAAAGCCTGGGGAATCGGACGCTGTCAGCAGGTGAGAGAAACAGTTCTTTTAAGCACTTTGATGTCAAGCTAAACTGAAACCAGTGCACTAGTACAAACATCAAAAAGTTTAAGAGCCTAGATTCAAAATTTAAAAATCGGGATGAGTTACCAGACAAGCTTCTAGGTAAAATATACATGTGTAATTATCATATACATTTATGTAATTCACTAATTTAAAAAAAAAAAAAAACAGAAAATAAGGATGGCGACAATGCTCCCTAGTGAAGATTTCCCCAAAGCCTTTTCTCAGACTCGTGTTTAAGTAGGTATCAAATCCAGCATATTGATGCTAATAATATTTTTACAGTATATAAATGAACTTCCTAATCTATATACCAATTAAAATCTGACTTACTGTGCTCTTTTTAGTTCTTTCCCATCTAAGTGGTTCACAGGTGAATCCTGATATTGACATGAGTTATAATATTTTTCTTCTTTTAAACATAAGAGTAGAAACAAGGCTTTCATATTCATAAAATGAGACCATGGCAATAGGCCCAAATCACAGAAATAGGTTTTTCTATGATACTTTATTTTTTCATTAATGTAATAATAATAAAAGAGAACAGAATCAAAGTAGTTCATAGATACAATTCTAAGAATACAGTAATACTCTCTTCCTCCCTCCCAGTCTCTCCCTCCCTTTCTTTCTTTTTTTCCCTTTTTTTAGTTTTTGCACTAACATATTTTTAATTAACATTACAGTCAGGGGGCCTAATGCTCCACTAAATAAAGACATCAACAAGTAAAATGTAACAAGATCCTAGTTCAGCAGTTTTGAATCATAAACTAAACCTCTTTTAAAAGCTGAAAATGCATAGCTAATATAAAACATGGTATATAATAGCTTTTCAGGGAATCTATATTATCTCTATAATGGGATACAGCCCAAAATGAACAGCAATCTCATTTGGTAATGAGTCTTCCATATTCAGTCCCAACGAGGTCCCTGTCACAGTACTCAAAGAACAATAAAAAGCATATAAAAAAATTCCCAGGATTATTTTGTTTTGCTTTGTTTTGTCTTACTGTTCAACACTGAACACTCTTAGGAGTTGGTTAGGACTTTTTGCCCCAAAACTCATGCAGGTATTTAATGTCTTAACGGTTGATTGATTACAGGTGAATATTTAATCTAATTATGGCACCTGAGAGGTGGATTTGGTGGGAGGTGCTTAGGTCATTGAAGGCATGTTCTCAGTCAGTTCTTCTGAGAGGATCATTATTTGAATTCAAGTTCTGCCTACCTGCTCTCCTCCCTTCTTGGCTTATCCATGTGACCAGTCCTCTGCACCTGCAATGACCAACCTCCACAGATGCCAGTGTGGGGGACAGCCCCATCTTGAACTGTAACCTCCTAACTATAAGCTTAAGCAAACCTTTACTTTCCCAAGATGCTGCGCTCGGGTATTTTAGTTAAAATGTTAAAATACTAACTAATAAAAATTCTTATTATTATGTTTAAAATCTCCTTGTTTGAATCTTGGAAGGAAGCAGGCCCCAATGTCTACAATCCAATCAAAAACCGGCAAGGTAGTTCCTCCCCACTCCCTGGTATTCTGGGCATGTGACCTAAGTTTGGCCAACTAGATGCTAGCACTGTCACCCTATAAGAGCTGACTCAAGGCAGCAGGTGTAATTAGCAGACAATTTGAGGGTACTGCTGCCCTTTCTCCCACAAAGGTGCCATTTTTCTAAGCCTGGTTCTTCTGTCTTCCCTCACAATGAAGTTGTGATTTCTTGCTGATATTCAGCCTGAGTAAGTGGGCTGATAACATTTCTCTTAGATTTGCAACAACTCAGGATTGAAGGGGTAATTATTTTGCCTGAGTTGCCTTTCCTGAAATTCTTTACAAGGCTAGACAAGAACACTACTGACCCAAAAGAATGTAACTTCAGAAAATCTAGGAGAGTTGAGCACACTTTTTTTTTTTTTTTTTTTTTTTTTTTACAGATAGAGTTAGACAGTGAGAGAGACAGAAAGGTCTTCCTTCCGTTGGTTCACCCCCAAATGGCTGCCACAACCTGTGCTGCACAGATCCGAACCCAGGAGCCAGGTTCTTCCTGGTCTCCCATGCAGGTGCAGGGGCCCAAGCTCTTGGGCCATTCTCCACTGCCCTCCTGGGCCACAGCAGAGAGCTGGACTGGAAGAGGAGCAACTGGGACTAGATCCCGGCACCCATATGGGATGCTGGCACAGCAGGAGGATTAACCAAGTGAGCCATGGCGCCGGCCCCTGAGTACACTTTCTAAAAAGCAAATAGAACCCTTGAATGAGTTCAAAAAGGAAAATAAGAGAATATATTTCAAAAAGCCTTCAAATATCGAATGCTTGCAAACCCAGCGTGACAAACTCTGCTTAACCAGTATTTCTCAACCAGTGGCAGTTTTGCCACTTAAGGGACATCAGCAATGTTCAGAGACATATCACACTCATCCCAAGTGAGGGATGGGTGCTACTGGCATCTAGTGGGCACTCGAGGAAGCTGCCAGATATCCTACAATGTATATGATGGCCTCCATTAACAAATTATCTGACCCACAACGTCAGCAGCACCCAGGGTGAGAAACTCTACCCTGTACCACCATCTCTCTTTAAATCACATGTAAACAAATGTCTTCCCAGAAAAACAACACCTATCACAGCTCAAACACTTTGGTGATTCTTAAATCTTCTATCTGGGGCCAGTATTGTGGCACAGGGTGTTTTAAGCTACTGCCTGTGACACCAGCATCCTGTATGAGCGCTGGGTCAAGGCCCTGCTGTTCCACTTCCCATGTGGTTCTCTGTTAATGCACCTGGGAAAGCAGTGGAAGATGGTCCAAGTTCTCTGGCCCCTACCACCCATGTGGGAGGTCTGGATGGAATTCCTGGCTCCTGTCTACCACCTGGCCAAGATTGTTATTGTAGAGATTTGGGGAGTCAACCAATGGAAGAAGTACTCTCTCTCGCTCTCTCCCTCCCCTTCCTCTAGGCATCGCTGCCTTTCAGAAAAATACTTTAAAAAAAAATACTTATTTTAAAAGAAGAACCTGTATCTATCCTAATGTTAAAAGAAAAATAATTTCATAACTCAGATGACAATACCATAATCCATCTGAGAACTCCACAGGAGGGAAATAACCAAAAAAGAGCTAATAAGGCAAAGAAATGAAAGTCTGCAGAAGACCAGGAGCATCTGAGGGAATGACAAGACACCCAGAGTGAAAAAAAAAAAGTCACTTGCACTGCCAGGAATGTTGTGAACTGAAGCTTGGGAAGGATGCTGTGAGCAAATTTTGAAGTGTCTTATCCATTGCCAAAGCCTGGATATGTCTTTTTGAACACCAGCAGTTTTTAAAGAAAAAGTTTTTAAGTAGAAGCACACAGATTCTTAGGAAGGAATCTCCAAAGTCCCCTTTGCCAGGAGCAGCGGCTGGTAATACGGAAGGCACTTAGAGGCTGCTTCTGAAGTACAAGAATGAGGAGCAGCTGGACTAAGGTGATGGTAACGTGGATGGAGATCAAACTGAACCACGTTCTTGAGATTTACTTACTTCTCCCTGTAAAATGAGTGTCTTTCAGTACTGTGAGATGTATATTAAAGGGATAAAAACTATCTAAAATGGGCCGGCACCGCGGCTCAATAGGCTAATCCTCCACCTAGCGGCACCGGCACACCGGGTTCTAGTCCCGGTCAGGGCGCCGGATTCTGTCCCGGTTGCCCCTCTTCCAGGCCAGCTCTCTGCTGTGGCCAGGGAGTGCAGTGGAGGATGGCCCAGGTGCTTGGGCCCTGCACCCCATGGGAGACCAGGATAAGTACCTGGCTCCTGCCTTCGGATCAGCACGGTGCGCTGGCCGCAGCGTGCCAGCCATGGCGGCCATTGGAGGGTGAACCAACGGCAAAAAGGAAGACCTTTCTCTCTGTCTCTCTCTCACTATCCACTCTGCCTGTCAAAAAAAAAAAAAAAAAAATCTAAAATGGCTATAAATCTGTATTTACTCCCCATGTGTATCAAAAGGAAAACATGGTAACAAGTCAAAGCATTTAGAGAATTAAAGTCTACACAATGAGAATGCATTCTATTCAAGTAATTTCTATGTGACTCGCAATACAGGGAAACTTTTGTTGTTACCTGCTCCAGGACTTCTTTATAGGTAATAGTTGCTTTCGTATCTGTGACAGGACTGTCATAGATGATAGCGATCTTGTCCCCTTTACCATTTTCAATATGACGATCAACGGCATTGTAACAAATGTTAAGCATTCCTTCCACAAACCTGAAAAATAATAAAAAAAAAATACTAAGAAAGTCATTGGAAAAGAAAAATGAATGATTCCTTCCAGAGTACAGAGTTGCTTAACCAAGTTACTATATTTCTAGTTTGACAAAGCTGGCCTTAAAACAGTGTTTCTCAGTGCACAGTATGCCAGGTAATGATAGCTGTAAACTAAATATTTAAGATGGTACAGGGTATTTTTATTTTAATAAATATGTATTTATTTTGATGTGCACTAGAAAAAATATACCTCACACTTCAAACTGACAACTTCATGGATTTTATTGCTCGAGATCAAACTAGAGTACAGAGCACCAAAGTAATGTATGATGATGAAGTGAATATACAAGGGCAGCTCAGAGGCATGAGAGATTATGAGAGGGTAAATGGTAGATACATGACTGAAATGTTGGTATAGACTGCAAACTTACTGCAAAATTCAGTTCTTCCTTAAAAGAGCTGTATGTATTTTTTGTTTCCATTAAATGTAATCTCTCCAATTGCATGAAGAATAAATTTTTTTACATGTTTCAAATGCTTCATAATCTGAATAAGGAATGGAGATGCACATAAAAATGTTAATTAGTTTTTTAAAACCCTTTGCAACTTAGTATTTTTACCTCTTACTTGATCAATGCCTTCCTTTGGAAACCTAGTTATCATGTAGATACACGGAGATACTTTTTAAGGAAATGAAGCTAATTTTTCTTTAAAAAGCACTTTATATTTGCCACTTTTTTTAGAAGGAGGAGATTCACACAAAATGTGCAAGTATAGTAATGGTCCATTTCTCCCAATATCAGAGTACCCAAATCAGAACAATGCAAATTAATACAAAAATATATTGAAACCAAAAGAAAAAGTCCTGTTAAATAGCTTAATATCACCTTCAGGTCATCACTCAGAGAGTCCTGTGTGAAATGAAGCAACGAATTAAAAGCAGCTGAGGATACAAGGGCAGCATTAAGAAATAATAGACGCAGGCCAGCAGTCAGGATAAACCCCTGCGTAGTCAGTCTCCCAGCCAGGTACAGGAACACCTATGCTACAGAGAAGAAAATATTCAATCTTAAAAGTATTGAAAGATAGGATGGCGGAATAGTGAGGGCGCACCGATGGTCCGGGAAAATTTAGTTTAATAAAAGGGGAGTTACGGTAGCCTCAGAAAAAAGAACCAGGAAAATACTGCAGAGGAAACTCTTCTGGATCCAGTGGTCGTGAATCGGAGGACCTACTGGGAGAACAAGGTCGCCCACCACCCGAAAGCCGAGCCGCGGGACCGAGCCGCGGAAGCCGAGCCACGGGACCGAGCTGCGCAAGCTGCAGGGTCTGCGCGCAAGTGCTCGAAGGGGAGTGCGTGCCACACAGACAACAGCGGAGAGACTTGGGACGTCCAGGGCTCCGAGTCCACACATCGGCGCTGGAAGGGGAGCGGACCTGTGTGGAGAGCGTGGGAGCCCACAGTTCGGGACACCAGCGGCAGACTCAACACACCAGCGCTGGAACGCGAGGTGAGCCGAACCTCAATAACCCGAGACACCGGCAGGCAAGCGGAGAGAGGAGACTAGAGGGAACGACCCACCCCCCCGGGGGGGGGGGGACTTCACCAAGCTAACTGGAAGAGAGAGAGAGGAAAAAAAAAAAAGGTGACTGGTACAGACACGGGTTTCTCTCTCTCCGCTCACCTCTCAAGGGCGAGCAAGACAAAGAGCAGGCGCCATCTTGGACATATGTCATAAGCAGAGCGACCTCAGGTCTGCACCGGCCCTGAGCCTAGCAGAAAAACCTGACTCTGGGCAGGGCGAATTAACAGGAGATTAGGACCTAGTAAATTTGTGGTGCTACTGAACTGAGACTGTGAAAAAAGAGACGGTGGGGGAGAGAACTCATGGAATTCACGTGAGCACTCTCCAGAGACGCTACAATTCCGTAACTTTGGCAACCCAGTGGGAGACTGAAGGAGAATTTGAGCCCACTCTGAGGGCCGAACAGATTCCCTGTGTGGTCCTTGGGAAAGAGCTTCCAATCTCTGGCTCCTGTGGGTATATCATTTGCCTGCTAACTACCTCCAACTTCGTTCAGCTGTGCAGAATAACTTCCCTTTTGAATCAAAAAGAGAGAGAGAGAGAGAGAGAGAGAGAGGTTTACCACGCCCAACCTGGGAGTGTCACCTTTGGCACACCAAACAGAGCTCTCAGGCCACACCCATCTCAAGCCCTAAGGCTCCATCAAAAACAGATAGTCCACTTAATCTAGAGTCACAGTATAACAAGAAAAAGCACCACAGTGAAGAAAACAAATATCTCCAATATGACAAATAACAAATGCAAAAACCAAGGTAATAAAAACAAGGAAGTCACCATGAAGCCCTCAAATGAAAAAGATAGCCCAATTCAAGATTATGAGGATGATGATATAGAAGAAATGCAAGAAGCAGATCTCAAAAAATTGATAAGAACATTAAGAAGTTCTCAAAAACAAATTCCTGAACTACAGAAATCCTTAATGGACAAGATAGAAAATCTCTCTCGTGAAAATGAAATATTAAGGAGGAATCAAAATGAAACGAAACAACTAGTACAACAGGAAACTGGGATAGTGACTGAAGTGAAGAATTCAATAGATCAAATGAAAAACACAATAGAGCCTTACAAACAGAATGGGAGAAGCAGAAGAGAGAATATCGGACTTAGAAGACAGAGAACAGGAAAGGATACAGTCAGACCAAAGAAAAGACGAGGAAATTAGAAATCTAAAACATATTGTCAGGAATCTGCAGGATACTATTAAAAAACCCAACATTCAGGTTCTAGGAGTTCCTGAAGGCATGGAGAGGGAGAAAGGATTAGAAGGCCTTTTTAGTGAGATATTAGCAGAAAATTTCCCAGGTTTGGAGAAGGACAGAGAAATCCTAGTACAGGAAGCTCACAGAACCCCTAATAAACATGACCAAAAGAGATCCTCACCACGACACGTTGGAATTAAACTCTCCACAGTGAAACATAAAGAAAAGATCCTAAAATGTGCAAGAGAGAAACATCAGATTACTCTCAGAGGATCTCCAATCAGACTCATAGCAGACTTCTCATCAGAAACCCTACAAGCTAGGAAGGAATGGCAAGATATAGCCCAGGTACTAAGAGAGAAAAACTGCCAGCCCAGAATATTATATCCTGCCAAGCTATCATTTGTGAATGAAGGTGAAATAAAGACTTTTCATAGCAAACAGAAATTGAAAGAATTTGTGGCCACTCGTCCGGCCCTGCAAAAGATGCTTAAAGATGTGTTGCACACAGTAACACAGAAACACGGTCATCAACATGAAAGAAGGTAAAGGAAGGAAAGCTCACAGCAAAAGATCACAGGGAATTCAAAGCATATATTAGAATTTATCTTTGGCAAATGGCAGGGCAAAGTTACCACTTTTCATTAGTCACATTGAACATTAATGGCCTGACTATCCAGTTAAAAGACACCAATTG